GGGATTTGAACTCAGATGTTCCTGACTCCAGGCCCAGCGCTCTATCCACTGTACCACCTAGCTATCTTTATATACACACCATAGACATACATGCACATTATAAAGGATCTCCTGAATCTGCTTCCAGGCAGAAAATGATAACAACTGGGGTCTCCTCTTATTCTAAAGAAAGTGACTCTGAAGGACATAATTAGGGTGATTACTGAGGCTAAAGGAAAACCTAGAGTAGACTATGCTTTCAAATGAGTTCTATGGAATAGGTTTCCAAAACAAATCTTTGCAAGAGGAAATATTTTAAATGGAAATTGGCCAAATAGCTAGTCCTAATCTGCACGTGAACAAGTAGAGAGAAGCCACATATACATGTCTGGTTCTGTGACATACCTACATGGATAAAGGCATATCCATCCATCCATCCATCCATCCATCCATCCATCCATCCATCCATCCATCCATCCATCCATCTTCTCTACAAATGTCTCCTTAAACATCTGATTTACCTTCTCTATTTTGGGGTTAAAGATAGCTTCTAGGATCATGCTGAGAATTAAATAAATACATAAGCAAGCATTTTCACCTGATGATTTCTCCCGCATGACAAAACCCATTAACCCACTAGCACTGGGGTTATCCATGACAGACAGAACAGTAGAAGTATGTCCTACTTTATGTCACCTTCACATAAGAAGATGCAGGTTTTTACAAAAGATAAATTAGGAAAGGACTGGTTGCTTTACAAAAAGAGCCACAATAAGATCTCTTTCAAGAATAAACACCACAGGCACATTTAAACCAGGGAATCTAAGCCTGGTGTCTGTAGACTTTTTTGAAATGGCTGAATAACTGCATTTCAGCATAATAGGTTTCCGTTGTAATTCTATGCATTTTACATTATGCACTTAAAAATACTTTGAAGAAGGGGTCCAAAAGCTTCATCAGGATGCTGAGGGGGTCCACGACACACAAAAGATTAAGAACCCCTGATTGAAATGGGTCTTATTTGCATAAAAGTTTTCAAGAACATGTTTACTGCATAAAGCCAGGCATAAGTGGACTGCTTATAAATAGGCACAGTACTTGATACCACCTGTTTCATGCATTTCTACCATGGTGGTACTGTGATTACGACTGAGATGTCTAAAATGTGTTGAGCACTGGGGGAGATGCTACAGAAAGACCCTAAACACTAACTTTAGTATCATTCTAGCACAACTAAAGCAAACTCCAGCCTTCCCTGATAAAGACAGATCCAAAGCCCTGAACCATAAGGCTGTTAGTAAGGAGGTAGGCACCCTACTTTCCTATATGCAAGGGCAAAAAAAAAAAAAGAAAGAAAAAAAGGTAACCAATCTCTTCCCCACACTGTGAGCAAGCAGAATTGATGGTTGCTGGGGATTTTTTTTTCTGCACAGATAAGAGCTTCTGGAGGAGGAAGACAAAGAGCAGAGGCACTAATTTCTAATTAATTTAACTGTGGAGCAGCCTGATTATCTGGAGGAGTTATCTATTGAGCACTGCAGCCTTCCAGTGTGCTGAATCTGAGCTTTCCCAATAGGCAGCTATAGAGCTCACTCTCCCTTCCAATGCATCAGGGATTCGCACCCAGGAGAGAGAAATCATTTCAAACAACAAAGCAAGCATGTGTGAGAATTGCCTCACTGAAATCTCACCTTTTCTCACAACGTTTTCAGGCCAAACAAAATATGCAACAAGTCGAATTCGGTCTTTAATGATGGACACACCAAAGGCTGCCTTCCCTTTCCTCTCACATACATACAGCATGTTAGGGAGGGGGATCTTCAGTGAATCTTCATAAATAGGGCATGACTATTGGCAAATTAATTAATTAGGATCCCGTCGGCAGGATAATCATCTGTTAGATTAAGTAAAAGGCCTCGTGCTTTTGTGACAGCTGTCGCCGTGTGGATGTGCTGAGCGAGGCAGCCTGGCTTGGTGGAGAGGGCTGGACCCTGAGTCAGGAAAGCCTGGATCCAAATGCTGTCTCTGATACTTAGTAGTTAGGTAACTGTACAAAGACCATGCGACCATTCTGCGCCTCTGTCTACTCACCTGTAAAAGGAAGGGCTTAGATCGGATGGCTTCTTTGGCTCTAAATCTACAACCCTGTGATCCCTGCCAAGAAATGTCAAGGTGCCCAATGCCGATATAGCCCAAGACCTTTATGGGAGTAGGATGATGGGCTGAGGGTTATTTCCAGCCTCATGACAAAAAAATGAGATTCCATAAGACTCTAAAGTTCAGGGTAAAACGAGGATAAGAAAATCAAAACTTACACGAACAGAGGTACACACAAAGACACACTTAGAGACAGACAAAATGCAAACTCTTGGTTGGTCACAAGGCTTTGGGAAGGGGGGAGCAGGTAGAAGAGCAAGGATGGACCAGTGAAAATCCACACATATTGTATTCTACAAGGGTCTCCCTTAAGGTTACCATTTTCTAACTTTCCTAATACAAAGCTCCTAATACAATACAACAAGTGAATCAGACGTAAATTCGTCACCTGTAAAAGGCAGATGATCTCTAAGGTCCCTTGCAAAGCCTAAAGTTGTAGGATGATGACTTTCTTGTTCAGCTCGCGGTTCACTATCACCCCTAACATCTTTTCAATATTCACACACATTGATCATTTTAACCTAGAGAAAGAGAGAATATCTCCTTGGAGAATGCAAGGATAAGTTTCAGGATGTTAGGCCACAGAAAAGAAAATGCAAAGGAGGAGGGCTTTGAAGGGAGGGGGCCCTTTCATTTATGCCTCAAACATTTCCACTCAGCCTACCTCATTCCTTTTCTTAACTCCTATGACTTAAAATAGTTATACTAATTCTCTGAGATAAATTACAATCAGGAGTTTAAAGCCGTAAGATACCTTTGAGACCATCTAGTTGAAGAGTTCCTAACCATTTTTTTTTAAGCTAGGCAATGTGGTTAAGTGACTTGCCCAGGGTCACACAGCTAGTAAGTGTTATGTGTCTGAGGCCGGATTTGAACTCAGGTCCTCCTGAATCCAGGGCCGGTGCTCTATCCACTGTGCCACCTAGCTGCCCCAACCACTTTTTGCATCATGAACACCTTTGGTAGTTGAAATCTATGGACCCATTCTAAGTATGTTTTTAAGAATCCAATGGTCTTCCGCTTTCTTTGAGCCATCTTATGTAATCATTTAAAATAGTAAGGTACTCATTTGATCCAGTCAAGGGGTTCAAATCTCTAAGTCCACCTTAAGGACACCTGTGAAAATTTCTAGCTATTAAGGACAGGCATACCCCAAAAGACACCAAATATCTGGTAGAGATGGCAGGCGAGCCCATGGCAAGCACCAGGGCTATATATAGTCACTGGTCCAAAAATATTGCTGAATTCTTAATGCATATAATCAAAAATGCAGAGTAATGCAGAACTTAAGGATTCTCTTATCATTGAGCTTATTTAGGTTAATGAGACTCTCAAAACATGGAGGCATACTTATAGGGCCCATGGCCAAATCAACCCACCCATGAGTTCCCCTTGCCATGTTAAGATGGTACTTACTGAAAAGAAGAAAACTGTTGCTAAGCCAGAAGAGAAGGTTGCTCAAAAGCAAAAGATATCCCAAAAGAAATTAAAAAAACAAAAACTTATGGCATGAGAGTAAATGTGACATTAATACACAAATAAAAGTAAAATTAGAACATTTGTTATAGTAAATTAAAAAAAATAATAACCAGTAATCACGAAGTACAATCACCAAACTATTTTTAAAAAAAGTTCACAGATTCCAGGTTAAGAACCCTCTCCAGTCCAACCACTCATCACTTCACAAAAAGAGGAAAATAAGGCTCAAGTGTGAATGTCTGTTGAACTCATAGTAGCAAAAAAAAAGAAAGTAAAGTGGGCGTCCATTAATTGGGGAATAGCTAGACACACTGAATGAATGAAATGGAATCTTCCTGTGCTGGAAAGAAAGGATGAAAATCAGGAACTTCAGAGAAACATGGGAAGATTTGTGTGAACTGATAGAGCATGGAATAAGGAGAATCAGAAGAACGATCTACACAAATGACTGCTATGGCTAGTGTGGTCACTAAGATTGGACATTTTGGTTTAACTGGCTTACTTTGTTATAACTGAGGGTTCAGTTTGGGCATGCAGCACACGTAAGCAAGATTTCCAGAAATGAATGATATTAAAACAAAAGACACAAAAAAAAGAGCTGGTTTTTTTAAAAATGAATGGTTAAATGACTTACAATGAGTCACATGGCCTAATTACTGTCAGTCTCTTGGCTCCCCATCTGGTATTATTTCTACTCTATCATGGTGATCACTTTAGTTCTATGGCAATAAAATATCTTTTTACAGTCCTAGTTCCTAGCCCACTAAATAATGTTCAAGGAATGTTCTTAGAGACTGAACAGTACTTTGTCTTTCTTTCTTTTTTTTTTTTTGGGCAATTGAGGTTAAGTGACCTGCCTAGGGTCACACAGCTAGTAAGTGTCAAGTGTTTTGGTCTGAGGCCGGATTTGAACTCAGGTACTCCTGACTTCAGGGCCGGTGCTCTATCCGCTGCGCCACCTAGCTGCCCCATTTAGGGTCATTCTTGTCCCAAAAAGGAGCATCACTCTACAGCTGACCATATGGTCAGATGATAGACGGTGTCTTACAGTTATCAAAATATCACCAAAAATCAAGCATGAAAAAAGAAGTCTATTATGATAAACATCATGGCACTGAAACTGTTTTGTTCTGACAGAATGCTGTAATGACTGTTAACAGCCCACATGTGGAAACTTGCTCACTTTCATACCACATCTATCGGTAAAGAGGCAGATCAGCCCTGACTGAATGAGAAAAGCTTAGAGCTATTCAAACCATTAAGATTCTTGGCTCTGACTTCAGAGAGAGGAGGATAAACAAATCTCTGCCCAAACTGGAACTAGTTCTTCTGTTTAGAAAATGGGAGAAGTGAGGGGAAAATAATCCTCCCCTCTCCCCCCTCTTTCTCTGCCCCTGCCACTCCCTTCCAAGAGATTGGCTGTACTGAGAAGTGTTTCATGGTAATGAGCCAAGTTTTAAAGGAGAGAGAGATAATATTAGTGTGTGTGTGTGTGTGTGTGTGTGTGTGTGTGTTTGGGGGAGGGGGAGCGGAGGTGTGGAAATGGGTCAAGAACACAGGAACACCAATTCCCATTCATCCTGAATCTCCAGAGCTGACCCTGGGGTGTCACCTTGAGCTATCAGCAGCTAGGCACTGACTGAAGCAGACAGCCAGGCGAGGAGAGCTGAGGCTGGTAGACACACACTCGGCCTGCACATTACACTTCACTGCCCTTCTACTCCATCATCCACCAGGCAAAAGCAGGTAGGATTCTCCTTATTGCTTCATCCACAACCCTCAGGTTACTGCCTTGTGTCAGGGCTACTCTCAATGTCCGTTTTAATCATATTTTTCCTAAGTGAAGGTATTAGGTTGTATAGCAAGTGGTACCCAGCAAGATCTGCCCTGGGTTCCATACACTTCTAGGGATGGCCCCAAAAACCCATTGGGTCTGGTTGGTTTTGGATTTATTTAAACAAACCACTTGCCTTGATACTAATCATCTGACTTTATCCCTCTTTTCTTTAAAACTTGGCTTGTTACCAGTAAAATACACATCGATATACTTTTGTGGTTGGATATTTTAGACTGGTCTCTTGGAAAAATTTACATTTATCATAGTTTTCTTGGTTGTTTCAAATGTTAGACTGATAATGGATGTCATGTCATGGAGCAGCAATTCTATGAAGACATATAAAATAATTGCAATGATTCTATTTTTTACTTTTATTATTATTTAGTTATCCTCTGTCTGAATTTTTTTTTTGTAACCCAGACAGATTTCTCTGAGGTCTGGGCTTGTGTCAACTTGCACAGCTGTAAAAGCATACACTGGATGATGGCTGCTAAACAAAACACTGTTGTTTCTCTCCTCAAGTCTCTATCCTGTTGTAGTGAGATCTATAATTTTCATATTAATCGATCTGGTATGTATAATGCTTATACTATTTAAATTTGTTAGAGCTTCTCTACTTTCCAGGGAACCCTGACTTGGAAGTTGAGGTTGCAGCCAAAGTGATCAATCGGATCCTCTGACATGCTAATAATCCCTGTGCTTGTAAACCACCAAGTGAACTGAAGCAGGTACTTCGCTTCTACTCCTGGCCATGCTAACCCTGGTTCTGTGCCCTGCTGAACAATCACAAAGCTCAACGACCCTAACGACCTGGAGACTGTTCACACAAGACCCAAGAATGCCTGGGTTGTGGTCAAGCTGTTTGTGGTTTTAACACTTAAAAACCCTACCCCTACCACAAGTACGTGAGCCCCCTTTCTTAGGAAAGAGGGCTTCACCTGCAAGCTATTTCCCTCACTCTGAAATTAAACTTCTGTTTGATTCCTGACTCTCCTGTCTCTAGTCTGCTCCATTCGGCTCTGCTCATCCACAGGTTAGAGGCCGGTTCAGTTTGGTTAACAATCCTTAACTAACTACATGTCCTTGGACAGGTCACTTTAGTTCTCTACACTTTAGTTTCTTCAGCTGTGAAATAAAAGATTTGGACTACATAAACTTCCAGCTCTAAGTCATGGGATACCATGAGTTTTCTTCAGACTCAAAGCTAATAAATAATTTTGAGTGACTACAAATGCCAGAACTGAGAACTGGCTTTCTTTTTATAATTGGCATCATCTCAATTTTAAATAACTAGAATGATTACTGACTCTTCATTCCAAATATAAGGAAAGTCTTAAATGCTTAGAATAATAGATTCAAACATTTACAATTTTGTTCATGGCCATTAGGATAAAATAAATTACTTACTGGCAATGTTCCAGGGAGCGAAGCATCAAAAAAAGAAACCAATGAATTAGGGGGTGCTAAAAAGGTAACTTGAGATCCGGAGAAAAGTTTTGAATTGGAAGAGATCTGGGCATGAATTTCCAGGCCCACCACAGCTGCCCACTCATGTGCACTAAAGAAAAAGCAAACAAACAAATAGTAATAGGTAGATTCCTCACTATGCAGAAACATCTGAGACCACCAGAACATTAATTTCCTACTTGTATTTTAACTTAGTAAAATTTTATATCCTTGCATATAAAACTGTATTCTATTTTACTGGTGACTAAATCAAAATTAATCTATAATGAAAATCTTGCCACAGAACTGGGGGAATAAAATTACTTTATTACTTATCATTAGGGAAAGGCCCACTGTACAAACACGAAGGTGATAGGGGAAAAGAACAATTTGGCATCCTAACGCAATTCAGAAATGGATTCTAGATGTCAACTGCTTGGCTGACTCTTCAGCCAGGAAGAAAGAAGCATTTTCTAAATTAACCGTACCCTGTCAACCAATCATTTGTAAACTGAGGAATGTGGACCTCGGGAACGACATTTAGAACTAACATAACCATCAGGACCCCAGTAATACAGGAACAATGAAAAATTGTGCCGGATCTCATAAAAAAGAAAGGTAATTCTTGATCATTTTACAGATTCACCTTTATAAGTCTTATAAACATAACTGCGAAATGGAATGGAATGCATAACAATTTACTCTGAAATCAAGATCCCTATAGAAGATAGGAGTAATTGATGATTTCATCGGTGAGGGAAGCTCTCTTTGAGGGAACTCTCTCTGCTCACGGTTCATCCTAGTAGATAAGTCCTAGTGAGTTATCTGAAGTGCACAGAGGTTACATGATTGCTCAGGGTCACAGCTGGTAAACGGCAGAGACGGGATCTAATCTTCTTAACTCTAAGACCAGTCTCCATTATGCCAGGCTGGCTGCTCTGACACATAGAATATGATGTACCATTTTCTATTGAAATATTTTCCTTTGCTGAAATCTAATTAGATGCTCTCAGGATTATCTTTTCAAATCTCATTGGTATTAAAATTTAAACATCCTAACAACCTCCCTTATCTGGGGCACTTTTATCTCTCATCCAATATTCATCACCTCAGAATCAGAGGCATACTGGAAAAGTTCCAGTGTGTCATCTTACAAAATCTCTCAGTGCTGGCAGGGCCTTTCTAGTTTTTTTTTTTCCTAATGTATCTTAGTGAATTATCTAGATCTTTGTATACAATTAATTTATATGTACCAGTGGGATTCTGGGTAAGTCACTTCATTTCTTCGGCCAGTCTGATTATCTACACAACGAGAGAGTTGAACTAGAAGATCTGTAAGGTCCCTTTCAGTTCTAAATCTCATGATTCTACAAGTCTAAATTTTTAAAACTATTTTTAGATTGAGCTACACAGCCAATAGGTATGAGAAATTACAGTTGACTGGTCAGAAATTTCCATGTTCGCTGTAACATCCTCCTTGTCTTTTGAACAATTTCATCACCCCTGAGAAAAGCAAATGTACTTTTCACTTCCAATGAGTTACCATCATTTAAGAAAAGAACAGAAACTGAAAGTCTGTGTCTAATTCTATCTTCCCAGAACATGATGATTCAGTTCCTCCATTTGGGAAGCTCAGGTGGAAATTTAACAACCTTAATAGTTCACAACGCATCTACATGCATCTGTTATTTGATCCTCAAAACAACTTGATGAAGGAGGCAAAGAAGTTATTTTAATGTCTACTTTGCAGAAGTGGAAACTGAGGTCCAGCGAGATTAAATTATTTAATCAAGGTTACAGCTCTAGTAAAGAGCAGGAGAGACTCAAATTCAGGTCTTGTTACCCCAAAGGGACAAATAAGATAATGAATTCAGTTCAACAAACTCTTATTATGGCTTATTGTTTTACTGAACCATAGGGATATAAAGATGAAACAAGAAATAGTCCCTGTCTTCAATGAGCTAGTAGTAAATAAAGTAATCTTTCAGTTCCTCGGCAACCCTTTAAGGCTGTAAGTTGCAGAGCAGGTATAAATCTGCACTGGTAAAGGGATTTTCCCCACTGGGAGTTCCCTCTATCAATGAAATCACAGGTCTGGTCTCCAAAATCTTGTACAAGGCACTGTGCTCTAGTACCAGGAATACAAAAGTCCCCTTTCACAAGAAGTTCGTGCTCAAAATTTGTAGTCAAAACTATCTTTTCAGTGAGACCTCAAATGGTCATAGGAAACACAGCCAGAAGAGACCTTTAGGGGTCTAATATGGTACAATAGAATGGATGTTGGGTTTGAAGTCAGGGGGCTCTACTTCTGGCTTTGCCACTTACTACCTGGATCACTTTAGGTAAGACACTTAATCTGTCTGGGCCTCAGTCACATTATCCGAAAAAACTGGAACAGAGGACCTACCTCCCAGGTCACTTCCAGTTATGAATCTTTGATTCTATGATCTAATATAGAAGTTCTTAATTTTTTCCCCCCATGTCTGCGTTTCCTTCCCCCACTTTTTAATATAAGAAAAAATTCAGAGCCCCACATAGGAAGGCAGTTGTACTATTGATATCTACTAAGAATATACATGATAAAAAAAAAAACTAATATGAATTTAAATGTATCTGGTTTATTAATCATAATAGCATCTATGTAAATCTGAAAAACATAATGATATTTGTATTTGGGACATTACTCAGTTTACATTAGGTTTCTTTACTTATCTTGGGATTCATTTATAGATTTCTTGAACCCTGGCCTGAGGCCCACAGGTTGGGAATCTCTGGTCTAGTCTAATCTCATTTTATAGATCAGGAAACTACTGCTCAGAGGGGATAAAATAACTTGCGCATAATCACCAAGATACTAAGTGCAACGATAATCCAGCCTCTTCCATAAAACCTTCATTAACTGCGTCCAAATGCTTCTCTGCTCTTAACTCCTATGGAATAATTTTCAGAATAATTCAGGTGGTCACTAATATGTGTGTGTCTCTGTGTGTGTGTGTATAAAAATAACCTAATGACATAATTATTCAATTATTATTAAATCTTAGTCTTCCCAAAGTCTGTAAGCTGCTTGAAGTCAGAGACTAAGTTTTACACTACTTTTTAACTTCTATACAGCACCAATATAGTGACTGGCACATAATAGGTGTACAAACAGTCAATTATCTGATTTTGAAAGATGTACCATGGTGTAGCAGAAAGAATACTGGGTTTGGAATCAAAGGACCTGGTTTTAAATCCTAGCTCTGCTTGTTAACTGTTCAAGTCTGATGGTAAGTCACTTCAGCTAAACTCCTACATTTAGAGATGCCAGTAACCCTTGCATACTTAGAGCCTAGCACAGTGCCTGGCACACAGTAGGTGAATTAACAAATGCTTGTGGACTGACTAGTCTGAACAACTCCCTTACCTGACAGATGAGCAAACTGAGGTAGAGACAGGATTAGAACCTAGTCTGCAGACTCAGCATTCTTTTCACTGTATCTCTCTGGTAACATCTCTGGAAATGGTTGAGTTAGATTTATTTCTAAGCTTTCTTCCAGATCCAAACATAAATCTACGAGCTCAGGTCTCTCGGCTATGTCGCTTACACCTACCATGCCCCTGGACAAAGTCACCAGTGTTCTTAGGTCCTCAGTTTCCCCATCCGTAAAAGGAGCCTAGTTACCCTGCAAGTTCCCTTCCAGCTCTAGATTTTGGGATCCCTGGGGCTCCCGATCCAGTGTTTCCCCCACTTGGATCGCCGCCACCTTTTCTCAGTTGGCTGCTACAGGGTTAAGAGATGTAAAACTGACCCCGCCTCCTTCCCATTCCCGCGCCCACCCCACTCTGGACTCGTCTCCAGAACATGAGCTTCTAGAACCCGTTGGGGATTCCCGCTTCCAAAGCCGCACCGTCTCCCGAGGCCGGCTAGGGGCCTCGGGACAGGGTACTTCGGGGGTGGAAGAACGCGGCGGTACCCCCCTCCCCCCCGGGCAGCCCTTTCCTCCTCCCCCGGCCCTAGCGTCCGGGGAGCGCGGCTTTTGTACCCCGGCCTCGGCTCCTGTGCCGCTGCGGAGCTCTGCCCTCTCACCCGGCCCGGCACGGGCTCGGCGAAAAGCGCTCTCGAGCGGCGGGGCCGGTAGTCCAAGGACCAACACCGTCCAGGACGGGCGCATCGCAGTATGGGCGCCGCCATCGCGCCTCCGAGCCTGAGTCAGGTGACCGCTTTCTGGCGAGAAGCCGCGGGGCTCCCTGGGAAGCGTAGTTCCGGAAGTGTGGAGGCAGGCGGCGGAGGCTCCAGAGGGAAAACTACCGTTCCCGTCGGGCATTGCGGGGTGGAGGGGGAACCGAACGTGGACGGAGGCGGAGGAAGGAGGTGGGAGAAGGGAGGAGCCGAAGTGGAGGTGCCTGTCCTGGGGAAGACCTGCCGATTTAGCCAATGAAAGTCGCTATACAAACTTTAACCCAACTTAGTTCAATTCACTTCTGTTCCAGTTGACCCAGGGCCTCCTTTGTACCAGCCGCTGTACTAAAAGGCAAAAGTGTACTGGAGGTTGAATTGGTCTGTATGAGCAAACTCAGGACCGTGCCCCCTGGAAATTTCTGTGGACTACAAGGACGTGTGTGACAGCACTTTTTATTTTTGTTGTTGTTGTTGTCCTTCCTTCTCCAAGAGGACCAAAATGACGTCACTGTGTTGGGGTCAAGTTACTGGCTGATCAGACCAGTAAGAGCTTGGAAGGCTCTTCTACCAATGGTCAAGCACAAATAATCGATACGAACATTTGGAATGGAGATGTCTCTAAATTCGGCTGTCTCACTGTTGTTTAAGCTACTGCAATTCTGCTTTCTTTGATATGGGCATGACATGCTGGGTGGTTCTGTGCCAGTGTCTCCCAAGTCTCACGATTGATTCCAAAGTTCTTCAGAGAGCCCCTGGGACTGTTCTTGTATAGCTTCTTCAGCTCTTCCAGTGAGTGCTTGCCTTGTGTGAGTTCTCCATAAAATGGCTTTTTAGGCAAGTATATATTTGGCATTCAAACCATGTGGCCAGCCCATCAGAGTTGACCTGTCTGCAATGGAGTTTGAATGCCTGGCAGTTCAGCTTGAGAAAGGACCTCTGTGTGTCTTGCCAGGTGATCTTCAGAATCTTTCTAAGACAATTCAAAAGGAAGCAATTCAGTTTCCTGGCATGGCACTGGTATACTGTCCAGGTTTCATAGGCATACAGTAATGAGGTCAGCAAAACGACTCTGTAGACCTTCAGTTGGTAGGCAGTCGAATACCTCTCCTCTTTCATATTTCCTTCCGAGCCTCCCAGACACTGAGCTGGCTTTGGCAATGTGTGCATCAACTTCATCATCCATGTATATACCCCTGGAAAGTATACTATCAAGGTAAGTAAACTTGTCCACAGCATTCAACATTTCTCCATTTGCCATAACCAGTCAGTTCCATGTGTGGACGGTGTGGTGCTGGCTGGTGGAGAACCTCTGTTTTCTTCGTGTTAGTTGTTAGGCCAAAATTATCACAAGCAGCAGAATGTAGGCATGTCCAGGGAAAATTAGGGCTGCTGAGCCCTTTTGAGAACTGCTTTCCACCTTTGGTGTCCACCTGATCCCCCCAACCACCTGTGGCTCCAAGCTATAGTATGCACAGTGGCCATACCCTGGTGAACGGTTTCAGCAGACAGGCTAAATCAGGTTGAGAGGGTCTCAAACCCTGTTGGTGAGTTAGGTGGATGTCTGTACCAAGCATTTGAAGACTTTCCCCCCAGTGGAATGGGTAGATGAGAACAATTTGTTCCAACTTCCATGAAGGTGGCTGAAAAAGGTGCTTCGGAGCACTTAGACATCAAAGATGTCAGGGTCATCCACTATATCCCAGACCATCACCAGTTGTCTTGATTTTTGTCTTGCCAGTAGACTTTTATGACTCTGGAAGAGAGAGTGAGGCCAATGACTTCACATAACTCTACCTCATTTAAATCCAGTTTATGCCTAGGACAAAAGATATCACCCATACCATTTTACCATTTTTGCCTACCTCAAAGTCCTGTGGTGACAGGCAAGTGATGAAGCAGCAGGTGTGGATACACTGGGAGTTGTAGTCACAACCCTGCATGTAGGCGACCCAGGCCTTAGGGTTGGTCATCTTCTCACTAGACTAAAGCAGCAGTGAGATTTGGCAGTCTCCTAGGTGTCTGAGCAGTGTTTTTTTAAGGACCACACCACTCACCTACTGGCAGGAGGAAGGGACTACAAAAGGTGCCCTAAAAATGATCTGTTTCAACCAAACCTGGTCTTTTTTACCATGGCAGGTGGGGTCCCCACTTTGGTCGAAACACAAAAAAAATATACAAAAACTTTTGAGAAGATGATTTCACTCACCATCAGAACACACTCATCATCAGAACATGGAATGTGCTCACTCTTATGGATAACAAGAAATGCAGTAGACCTGAAAGAGAAACAGCTCTCCTTGAGAGAGAACTCAGCAGGTATTGCATTCAAATAGGAGCCCTGAGCAAAACAAGGCTGGCAAATGAAGGGTAGCTTACCGAAGTGGAGCTGGATGCATGTTTTTCTGGAATGGCCGCAGTGATGGGGAGCGTGGTGAGGCTGGGATAGGTTTTACAATCAAAACTAATCTAGTCAACATTTATTTAAATAGGTGATGAAGAACTAGGGTTATCTGGCATTTTAGTATGACAGGTTAAACCGTAAACCTGGGACTTACCCTGGGATCTGTGAACTTGTTTTTTAAATATATATTTTGACAAATGTATTTTAAATGTGTTATTTACTTTGTTAAATATTTCCCAATGATATTTAAAAATTTTTTAAGCTTCATTTTTAAAAATTTTGAGTTCCAGATTCTCTCCTTCCCTCTGGCCCTTCCCCTATCTCTTGAGAAGGCAAGCAATATGATACATGTGAAGTCATGCAAAACATATTTCCATATTAGCCATGTTGTGGAAGAAAACACATGCACAAACAAATAAATAAGGAAGTGAATCTGCACTCAGAGTTCATCAGTTCTTTTTGGAGGTGGATACCATTTTTCATCATGGGTCCTTTGGAATTGTCTTGGATCATTGTCTTGATCAGAGTAACTAAGTCTTTCACAGTTGATGGCAAATGTATTGCAATGTAATTGGTTTCCCAGGTAATCCAATGTGTTTTATTTTATACTCTTAGAAACATGATTATGAACACATGAAAAGGGGTCCCTAGTCCATCACCAGAGGGCCAAAGGGTCCAGGAAACCAAAAAGATTAAGAACCCCTTTCTGGAGGGGTCATAGAATCATAGATTTAGGGCTGGGAGGGGCTTTAGAGACCATCATGGCTAACTCCTTCATTTTGTAAATAGGAAAACTGAGCTTGGAAGAGATTAAGTGATACACAGTTTAGTAAGTAGCTGAGGGAAGGTTTGATCTTAAGTGTACTTTATGCCTTGTAACTTTGGGGAGGAGGAGGAAACAGTCCTGAACTGCAGCAGTTAAAAGAAGTGCTGGTTTGTTGGCTGCTTTCTCTTCCTTCAGCACCCTAGCTATCATCACTTCTCTCTAAGACTTCTAGTGAGGGGAGGGGATGCCAGCATCATGGCATCGTGACAACCATGCCCATGTGGTAGCCAGTGCAAAGGGAATCGACTAGACAAGCTTGTGCCTGCATCCCTGTCGGCTTTTTCTTCTTTTATGTTCTTTCTTTCCTGATCTCAGGTGAATGACTATCTCTCCTGAGATGTATGTGTCCAGATTTGGAGGTGACTTTCTGAATTTGAGAGGACCAGAAATCCTGGGTCCATTGAGTAAAACTGACTTGTGTTTAGGGGAGTTGCTTCACTGGAGAGGATGTCTACGAACAAGAAGAGGCTGGACCTTTTTACCAGCAGACTTGGACCAGGAGTTGTTTAGACCATGTTGAACTGAATTGTAAAATGGTGTCAGCAGTACTGCAAACTGCTTTCTGTCCTGATGCTTTAAGTTACCAGTCTCTCAGTGTATTCTAACAGTGTATTCTTAGGTTAAGTTGCTGAGTGAGTCCCGTTTTGTTTATTTTTGTCAAATGTGTGCTGATGGCAGTTCTTTTGTTTAGCATTCCTTTTGTGCATAATAGGGAATAAATTACTCTCTTCTATTTGATTCATATTGTACATTGAGTACCTTTTAACCTACCCTTTTGGAGAAGCTATAAATGTGAGCTATAATCTAAGCTCTAAGGAAAATTTGTTTATGTACGAAGAGTTGAGGGGGTGGGGAACAGCATGGCAGGAGGAGAGGACAACGTGATGGATTTATTCTCCTGGTTCTGCTCCCTTCATTCTGTATTAGTTCATTTAAGTTTTCCTGGGTTTCTCTGAAATCTTCTTCATCATTTCCTACAGCACAATAATATTCCATTACAGTGACATATCATTTCCCAGTTGAGGGGTACCCCCCCCAACACTTGGTGTCCAGTTCTTTGCTACTACAAAAAAGGCTGCTATAAACATTTTTGTACTATAGGCTATTTTCCTCTTTGGAGCCTAATCCTCATGATGTTATTGTTGGGCCAAAGGGTATGTGCACTTTAATAACTTTATTATATAATATTATATATATGCATACACACATAAGTAAATAAGCCACCTTATTTTCTGCCGTTTAAATCCATGGAAACAATGATAACTACCTTACATTTGTGTAGCATTTTAAGTATTACAGTATACTTTCTTCATAAGCCTATGGTTTAGTTAGACTGTCGTTGTTTCTGTTTTAGAGATGAGTAAACTGAGTACTCAGAGTAATTAAATAACTTGCCCGTGGTCACACAGTCAGTGTCTGAGTCAGGATTAGAACTGAGATCTTGCCTGACTCCAAGTCCAGAACTCTTTGTAACATGTCAGGTTGCTTCTCTTGATCTTTGGAAGTATTAAGCCTAGTAAATGCAATGCTGGGAGATTCCCCTTCCTTCTTCCCCCAGATGGAGCAATACCTGTCTGAGGGCATTCAGGACTGAGGACTGGAAGGAGCACAGCTTCCTTCTACCTTAGGCAGGGTGTGCAATTATTAGGAAGTGGTGACAGGCTTACACGATATAAATAACTCTACCTAGTTGTTTAAGAGAACAGATTGGGGAGCATTTGGAATACTTTTAGGTTCCTGATGAGCTGGGAAGCATTTCCCTCCTAAGAGGGGAAGGATAACAAGATTTATCGTCTTGTCTAACCATGAAGCAGGTGACCATATTACCTTGGAGAATGAGAACAATGATGACCTGCTCTTGGGGCAAGATTATATGTAGTTAGAGGCAGCTTTTGAACCTCAGGGGAAACTGTGTCTCCCATTAGACAAGGTGAATGTGGCTCGCCAGGAGGACTGTTCCAGGGAGGATGCCAGGTGACTCACCTGAATACTCACCTACCAGGAGGAAGGATAGCTGCAAAAGGATTCATGACATCAAGAGGGAGAGAACAATGCCCGGTGACACCTGGTGGGAGCAATGTGGAACTGCAGATATAGGTCAACACCTGGAATATCTCCCGGGGCAGTGCCCACTCCACCGGCGGTGGGTTGTAGACAGCCACGCGCTACTTAGGGCAGCATCCCAAATGAGCTGTGGGGCAACTACAGGGGAGAGAACCTGTGTTTGGAGGATAGTAAGGACTAGACATTTACACAGATTTTTAAGAGCGAATTCCTTGTTGGAGGTGAGCAATAGAATACTTAACTTGGAGTCAGATGTCCTGGTTTTGCCTCTTTCTACCTTAGTGACCTTAGATGAGTCATTTAAATTCTCTTGTCCCCAGATTCCTTATCTTTAAAATGGGGGTAGGGTGGGTGGGATGCAAGTCTGAGGCTGGTAGCATGTTTGAGCTTGAAAGTTCCTGAGCTGTAATAGGGCTAATGTCAATGGAGTGGCTACACAAAGTCTGGCACCAATATGGTGAACCCTGAGAAAAGAGGAGTTGTGGGGCGCCAGGATACCTAAGGAGGGGTGCATCAGCCAAGGCCGGAAATGGGGAAGGCCAAAGTCAACAATGGGAAAGGGATGATGAGTGGCTGCTGCAGTTCCAGCCTGGGCAGCATAGAGAGACCCAGTCTCAGATTAAAAAATAAGACAAAATAGGGTTAAAATGAAATTAAAGGTTTTTGTGTGTCATGGACCTTTTTGGCAGTCTGGTGAAGCCAATGGACACCTCAGAATACTTTTTTTTAATGAATAAAATAAATAGGATTATAAAGGAAATCAATTATATTGAAATGCAGTTATCAAAATATTTTTAAAAACGAGTTCATGGACCCCAGGTTAAGAACTCCTGGACCAAATAATCTCTTGAGGTCCCATCCAGCTCTAAATCTTAGATCTTTAATCTTGTGAATTGTGAACTTACAAGGGAATTTGGTGTTA